AAATGTAGGAGTTAAGAGAAACATAAAAGATAAACACAAGCAAATGAAGATAAAGGACAAAAAGCAAGAAGATGATACTTCTGTGTCCCTTATGACCCCTACCATCAAGGGTCACAATAGAAGCTCTGGGAGTGGGTGTGATAATCTTAGAGAATAGAAAAGAAGGTGAAGAGGAACAGCCTGGTGAAGCAGAGAAAAGAAGGTAAGGGCACACAAATAGATATCTATACAACAAGGAACAAAGGGTCAGAGGGTTGGGGGAAATAAGCTGACCCTTGAATATCATTCTCATCTGAACTGATCACAGGAGGTTCAGCATACACACTCATACAGCTGGATACAAACACATCTCACTCAGCAGGGAAACAGGAAGAAAAGGGGAGAAGGGGGAATCAGAGGGTAGATTACCGAAGGGATTAGTCCTAAGCATGCATGAAAATACTTATAATTTTTTGAGGTGGTAAAATACAGAATCTAATCAAGGGGTACTCATCAACTGGGGAATGACTGAATAAGTTATGGTATATAAACATGGTAGGATACTATCATGCTGTAAAAACTGATGAAGGGACTGGTTTCAGAGGAACCTGGGAAGGTTTCACAGGTCTTATGTAAACTGATGAAGAGTAAAGTGAACAGAACCATAAAAACGATTTATACAAAGACAACCATATGGTAAATACAGACAACTCCGAAAGAATTAGGAATTCTGATTAGTGCAATGACCACTCACAGTTCTAGAGGACTAATGATTAAACACCCCACCTTCTGAGAGTTAGGTGAAAGAACTCAAGAAAATAGAACAAGACAAATATTTTTTGGACATGGCCAATGTGGAAATCCTGACTATACTATTTATAACAAGAGTTTGTTTTTCCTTTGTGATCAATGGGTAGAATGGGGTAGATTTTTGCTGACTGAAAAAAAATTAAAAACAAAAAATGTAATGTCCTCTTGGGTTGCAGAGGGAGAGACTGTCTCCACTAAGGGAGGTGATAAGTTCTACTTTACTCTGCTCTAATTTAAGGACTACTACTAGGGTAGTAGGTTCAGCTCTGGTTGCTGTGTTTCAGGAAGGATACTGACAAGATGAAAAGCAACAAAAGTGGTGCGATCAGGATGGTGAAGAGCCTCTAGGACATGCCACGTGAGGACTGGCTAAAGGAAATGGGGACGCTGAGTCAGGAGAAAAGTAAGCAGGCCCACCCTACTAACTGTCATGAGGTGATTTAGGGTCAGTGTTTCATCTTGTCAGTATCCTTCCAACGTCCATCTCGCTGCTCTTGCACTGGCTGTATCCCCTTCCTCACTTCTGATTTTTAGAATCCCTAGTTTTCCTCAAAACTCAGCTCAAACACCACCCCTTCTATTAGGAAACCTTTTCTCATCTCCTGGCTGCTAGTGTCTTTCTCCTCAAATGACCTTGTGTGTGTATTTAACACAGACACATTGTCTTCACCATTAGAAGGACTTTCACTTTTGTTTATTCCCAGGGCACAGCACAAGGCCTGGCATAGTAGGCATTAAATAATTAATAAATGTCTGAATGAATGACTGAACTGATGGGAAGTGATGAGACTTGTTCTGCTTGACCCAAGATAGAATTAAGAGCAATGAGGGAAACCTGAAGAAAGCTAAAGATTCAGATGTGATATAAGGAAAAGCTTCCTAAGAATTACAGCTGACATACTTTGGGAGGTAGAGATTTCATTTGCCTTGAATAGGTCTTTAGGTGAAAGCTAGTGACTTGCTGGGTATCTTCAAAATGATCTTAACATAGGCTGAATCTAAAAAGATCAAATTGAAGAGGTAAACATAAAAGTCTCGTGTATATGAAACTGATTTTTTGAACCTAAACATGCTTACATTTATCCCTATTAAATATAATGCTATTAGATTCTGCCCAGTTTCCCAGCTAGCCACAATACCCAACTAAGTTAAGCTTTTACCATAAGACCTATAGTGAAAGGGAGTAGCAGATCCCCTCCCCCCTTTACTTGAGATCTTTAAGCAGTGTGGAGAACCATTTGTTGGGGTATAGAAGTGATATTATTCTCAAGTATGAATTAGGCTAGATGGCCTCTGAAATCCCTTCCAACTCTTAAGACACTGAAAAGGCAGTTAGAAGAGACAATCAGTGACCTCAAAGAACCACAGGGATAGAAAAATGATTATGGAAGGTTGAAGAAAGAGCAAATGCTATAAAAGTGGAGGCATTCATTCAAGAAAACTGGCAGCAAAAGAGAAGCTTTAACAAGTATCTTTTAAGTAAGCTATTACATACAAAGCACTGTGCTAGGGTACTGGCCATACAAAGATGAAAAAGACATGTCCTGTAGTCAAGTTTATAATGTAAAGGGAGATGAGACATAAACACACAAAAATATGATAGATGTCAGAATGTGGGAGAGGGTCTTATAAAGCACTCTAGGAAAATTCAGGGAATGATTGCTTATTTAAAAATTTTTATTGATGTGTTTTGCTTTCACATTGCAAACATTTATAGTTTACTCCCACTTGAGGAAACACTGTTTGTAACAATGTAAAACAGTTAAGTAAAACTAAAGATGGAGTGACCACATCTGAAACTGGATGAAACATTCTCCATCTGTAGCAACCCAATTCTGCTTTTAAAATACTGACAAATAATTTTCTCTCTCCTACTGGAAAAATTCAGAGAATGGACAGAAAGCCTCCTCTGCTCTGCTATTCTTCAAGGAAAACTGGCTTTGGACAGAAATGGACAGGACTAGAGAAAGAATTCTGAAGATATCAATAGAAGTTATTTTGATGAAGAGAAAAGGAGGAACAACTTCCTAAAGTGATGCTGCTACTTAACAGGAAACAAACAACTGATATAAAGAGTAGCATGAGCCTATAATGATACCATCAAGAGATAGAGCCGAGAATGAGCTGGGACAAAAGAGCTTTTGAGATGAGTTGGGCTAAGGTATCAAGGAGGAGGAAAATGAACAACGACAAGGCAGAACTACCCAATTTCATCTGCTTTGGTCTTCTCTTCTATGGACAGTGACTGTTAGACTGCGAAGAGACAGAGATAGAACAATTAGTTAACAGGGACTTGCTGGGCATCTTCAAACAGAAGTCTGGGTGACTACTTCTTAGATATATTCTAACAAGGAATCCCTTGCTTTGGTGGGTTGAACTAAATGGTGGTTGAATTCTCTTCAAATTATGCCAGTCTGTGACTGTGTGACTTGAAATAAAAGATAAGTGAAGAGCTAGCAAAAGATCACCTCACTCCACTCAACGAGTTCAAGTCACAAGCCCTCAATGATCTAAAACTCAGGGTACTGAGAATTGGTCATTTTTAAAAAAAGATCATGGAAAATAGAAGACATTCTGAAGCACTAAGTAATTGTCCCCATTTTAAAAAAAAGTGAATTGTGTGTGGCCTACAAATCGCACATTGATAACCCTTCCTTGCATGCCGGGCAAAATTCTAAAACACAGTGTTAGAGGGATAGTTTCCGAGAACTCAGAAAGCGAAGCTATAAGCAAAGAAAGTCAACATGTGTTTGTCAAGAACAGGCCATGCTAGACCAACTTCATTTTTGTTTCTGATAGTATAATTTGACAGGAAAGGTTTAAGGAATGGTGTACATGTAACATATACAGATTTCAGGAAAAACATCTGACAGTCTCATGCTAGCCTTCTGGACAAGGAGGAGATATGTGGGCTGGATGATATAGGTAGATGGATTTGGAACTGCTTGAAAGACAAGTTCCAAAGAGCACTGAAAATCGTCCCCGACACCTATGCTCATAGTAAGAAATTTCAACATTATATGCTGCTCCCTTAAATACCCTAAAATTCCAGTTCAAAAAGTACTCAACTCCCTCGACATGTTCAGCAGCACCTCAGCATTATATAATACATAATAATAATATAGCAATGGTCTTTCCCTTGACTCAGCTTCCATGTTTGAGAACTGAAATCCTATTATCCGGCCATGCTCTCTTATCATGCTATTTCTTTCCATGCCTTCCTACTCCTAAACCTACTTACACAAGTCTTCATTCTCACTGTGACCCCCCAGTCCTTCTACCTCTTATGTACTTTCCCAGGTTAACATCTTTGCTATAGCTACACTCGCCACTCTTCCTAATCTCAATATCTTGGTGAATTAATTCAATGTTATATTATGCTTTGCACACAAATTCCTTGCATCTTTATCTTGCTGCCTCTTCTGCCTTGCTGAAGCCCAATACTGAAATATTCCCACCAGCTTCTCTGTTTCTATCCCCATCAGCTGAACAGAGCTGGAGAAGTCATGAAACTACTGGGTCTACTACAAATCTAGGTTGTCTAATCTCAACCGGGCCCTCACTACAGCAATGCAATGCTCCTACACTCCCTTTCCTAAGGGACCCTCTACCCCACTCAACACAGCTATTCCAAACCTTGTACTCTCTCAAGTCTCACACATCACTTTTTCAGGTGAGGACTTCACACAGTAACTCAAAAAAGGAAAAAAAAACCACCAAGGCCATCTGAAGAGTCTTCTTCTCACAACGTCCTCTTCCTTTACTCTGGTCTCTGATGAAGAGGCGGCCCTTCCTGCCAAGGATAATCACTCTGCATGTATCTCTGATCCCCTGTCTTCTTCAGCAGATTTCCTTCCTATCACCTCTCATTCTCTAAACTTTAATCTCTCCCTATCTTTTTATTCTTTCTCTGCTGCCTAAAAATATGGTCAAGTTTCCCTGATCCTTAAAAAATCCTCAATAGATTCTACTGTCCCTCCAAAGACCCTCATCTATAAAATAAGGAGATCTGACTCCTCATCACCTATAATGCCCCTGCTGATTGAAGATCATATGACTGCTAAAGCACTTAACACTGGTCCTCCTGCGCAACAGCAATTCATCTTCACAGTCTACTTCATTAGTGTGATAAAGAATAGACTATACCTCAAAAGTAATTTATTAAATAAATACACTAATTTAAGACATTTCTATAGCAACTAGATACTTACTTCCTATCAAACACTGTTGAATTCTCTCTTCTTTTGGTGAAGCCAATTGGTAAAATTCTTAAGTCAATATTGTGTCTCCGTGCTCGGTTTTTCATGTAATTTAACTAATAGAACAAAAAACAAAAATTAAAATCAAAGAGCTTAAAGCAACTTCAAACCTGAGCTAAAACTTTGAAAAAATTATTGACGGTGCTAAAATAAACTCTCAATTATTTAAGAATCAGTATAGAATCCATGATATTTTGGTCTCTTTTTGTTTGGTCTTTCCTTTTGGCCACTTCTTATTAGCACTTCCACTAATAGGCAAAGGTTAAGGAATAAAATTGAAACTGGCCAGTTTTGCTACTCTTAACTCTCAGAATAACTCTGATATGGATAATGAAGTTATTTCATTAAAATTAAGAATTGTATCCAGTAATTCATGAACTCTATGCTCTCAAGGTATAATAAAACTGTTGTTATTTTTAATGATAATAATTCACATTCTGAAAGTTTTGCACAGTATTTTTTCCTCATAAAAAGTGAGAAAAGTAATATAATTATTACTCCAATTTTATAAATGAAGTAATTGAGTCTCAGTGAAATTAACTGACTTAATCAAAATCATACACCTGCTGTCAAAACCAAAACTCAAACCTACATCTTCTACCTCCAAAACCAGTGGAGTTTCTCATTTTAACATTATTAAATGTAAAATTCCATATTTAATACTATTTATTAGACAGCAGAATTTTAGCATGAAACAGGTGCTATAGGGATACCTGGAAGTGGTATGCTTTGTTTAATTATATATATAACAAAAGCACTTAGTAAATGCCTTTCACCAATAAAATGAGTTATTATGATTCCGAATTATTCATGGCCTGAGGTAATTCCAGAGTAAACTTTATCACGTTCATCTCATTAGTAGTTTAATAGAGTAAGCATCTGTCATCAACGTCCAATAAACTTCACATAACTGGTAGTATCATTCTTTTCTGTAAAAAGTCAAAGACTCACTTGGATTCAAAAACAACTATTGAAAGGTAATAATGACTGTGAATATTAAGGTATGTTTAAAAAAGAAAATCCCATTGGGTAGATAGGCAGTAAAGTGCCTTGCAAACCTTAAATGCACTATATTGAAGCTGCTGTCAAACTACTTTGTAGAAACTTTAGGGCTAAGGATGATTCACTGAAAATTTTTTCAGTACCTTAAGTTTAATTTTTAATTTAAGAAGTTATGTATAACTTTAGGCCTTTTATTGTCAATCCTATCTTCTTAATGCTCCAGCCCATTAGTGCCAAATTAAAATAGAAGATCACCAAACTGTATGTAAAGATCCCCAAGGGCTGCATATCACATATTAACACCATCCATGTTCTATTTTATTTTTATTTATTGTTAAATTTTCCCAATCACATCTTAATTTGGTTCAGGCTTGGGTCTGACACCTCCACTCTAGCCAGTTCTCTAAGACTGAAATGTGTCAACCTGAATTGATAGAGTCTAGCCACTCTCTCTAAGAGTAATCTCATTTTTAAACTTAATGGTACAAAGTTCTAAAAAAAAAAAATTAAAATTTAATATTTCATAGTAATCTTTCTTTCAGGCACTATGCACACTAATAGCTCTCTAATGAACTAGATAGTCCAAGAAGAACAGTAATAATAAAATCTGTGGGAGAACAAATTTTTTTAAAAATATCATATGCTAAAATATATGCTACTCAACAGAAAAATAAATAATATTTGTATTGACTATTTGTGAACACATTTTATGTTCACAGAAAGTTACACTATGTCACAATGATGAGCTTCAATTTTATAGTTATTTAGAAAAAACTTTACAAATCTGGAGCAAACAGTAGTAGAAAGAGCACTAGATTTGCGAACAGAGGACCCAGGTTCAAATCCTGGTTCAGCTACCTATCATCTATGTGACCTTGGAAAAGTCAACTTTTATAAGTCAGTTTATTTGTAAAATAAGGGAAAATAAGAGACTCATTGAAAAGGTCTTTTTTTGCTCTAAATTCTATGCTCCTATGAAAATGAAATCTATTTAATACCCAATTGCTGTGGTTACCTTCTTTTAAGTTGTTTTTCAGTCATGTTTGACTCTCTGTGACCCCATTTGGATTTTTTTTTGACAAAATATACTAGAGTGGTTTGCCATTTCCTTCTCCAGCTTATTTTACACACAAGAAAACTGAGGCAAACAAAGTTAAGTGACTTGCCCAGAGTCACATCTAGTAAGTATCTCAGGCCAGATCTGAACTAATAGGAGTCTTCCTGACTCCAGTCCCAGCACTCCAACTACTGCGTTACCTAGCTGCCCCTCCCTTCAGCTAGTTAAATTAATAAGCTTATTAAGAGAAATGAACACTTACAATTCTATTTGTTGAGGGTCTTTTCAAGAAAATATCTCTAGCAATGTAGTCTGCTGATCTTCCTACATCTTCCAAAAACCTATAATCTAAAATTTTCAAAGTACAAAAATCAGGTGACACAGGCCAAAGGAAAAGATGCATCAATTAGTTACAAATAAGATGAGATATTCTGCCTTACCACTTAGAAGATTAATTTCAGTAAACTGCTTTAATGAAACAAATGCTGTCTTCTCTCGAATGCCACTGCATGTAAGCTCTGTTTTGTGTTTCTTCACACACGCTAAACTGAAGAGGCAACACACAAAAACTTTGCATTTTCATTTGGAAACATCAAGGGCACAAGCAGCAGGAAGAGGACTAAATCTATTTCATACCTGCAGGAACATTTCATACAGCGTGGACACCTGTACTTTGCTTCTTCTGTGCCACATGTTTCACAGCTAAAAGAAGCAGAAAAACAAAAACTCTTCAAATATGTATAATTCTTAAAATCACCAAAGTTGTAATCTACTTGTAGATGGATAAGTAACCCTTTGGTTAAAAAAAAAAAAGTAAAAACATTTCACGGCAATTCATCACTCCCCTCCCAGATCTGCTTAGGATTTCTCAGCAACTTGCTCTCACCCTGCCTGCCCCCTTTCCCACTGGTAAGAGTCTGGGGGGGGGAGGGGAGTCAGGAGGACCTGAGTTCAAATCTGGCCTCAGACCAAACACTTGACACTTACTAGCTGTGTAACCCTGGGCAAGTCACTTAACCCCAACTGCCTAAAAATAAATTAAAAAAAAAAAGTCTCCTGGTACTTCTATTTTTGAGAAGGGAGCCAGAATGGTTGGCTTTCATTCCCCTCCTGGCTTTGCTTCTGACTCTGTGGACACAAAGTCTATGTGGACATTCCCCATATCGATACCATCTTTCTTTCGTCCAACCCTAGCTCCTTTTTGTATTGTCTTCCCCACTTAGAATGTTTCTTGAAGGCAAGGAGTCTTTTTTTTGGCTTATATTTATATCCCCAGAGCTTAGTACACTATTTGGCACATAGCATGTGCTTACTAAGCATTTACTGTCTTTAAACTGTTAAGGGAAAGCTCTTCTCAATTCCAAGCAATTTCCTCTTTGGCCAGTCAGCTAGTATTTATTAATCTCTTACTCAGTGAAAGGTGGAATGTTGTGCTGGGGATACAACAAAAAACAAGACAATCCTTACTCTCAACGAGTTCACAGTTTGACAACACAAGAAGACAACATGCAAGCAACTACGTACAAACAAAATGGTACAGGATAAATTGGGTATCACCTCAAGAGGAAAAAGACTGAGACTGAGGAGGACTGGGCAAGTCTTCTTGCAGAACATGGGACTTGTTCTGGGCATCATAAACAGCTGGGACTCGAGGAATGCCAAGAGGCACACATGAGGAAGGAGAGCTTTCCAGGGACAGTGAGCCAGTGAAAATGCTTTGGGTCAGGAGGCAGTGTCTTGACCAATGCATAGCAAAGAGACCAGTGTCATTAGACTGCAAGGTTATGTGTGGATGGGGATATATGGTCTAAGAAGACTGGAGGCGGGTCATAGAGGGCTGTATAAGCCAAAGAGAAGATTTTATATTTGTTCCTACAGGTGGAGTTTATGGAACAAGGGGATGTCATGGATAGACTTGAACTTTAAAAGGAAGATGGCTTTGTGCTGAGGATGGACTGGAGTAGGGAAAGACTTGGGACAGGAAGACCTACCAGGAAGGTATTGCAATAGTCTAAGGATGAGGTGATAAAGGCCTGTACCAAGGTGGTGGCAGTATCAGAGAAGGGAAGGGGGGCATACAAATGAAATGTTACCAAGGCAGGGAGAAAAAAGAAGATGACAATTGATTAGCTATAGGGAGGTGAGAGGGAGGAGTCAAGGATGACACCTAGGTTTTGAGCCTAGGTACCTGGGAGGATGATGGCATCCTTGGCAGTAACAGGGAAGTTAGGAGGGGAGGGTTTGGAGGGAAAGACAACAAGTTTGGTTTTTGGTTGTGGACAAGTTAAGTTTGAGACGTCTACAAGACACCCATTTCACTATATCCAATAAACAGCTGGAAAGGCATACACTGGAAGTCAGGAGAGAGGCTAGGCCTGGGCAAACAGATTTGAAAATCGTGTGGTTAGAGATGATGGTTGAATTTGTAGAAGCTGATAGGATCATCAGTGAAATAGTATAGAAGGAGACGAATAGGGGGCTCAGCACAGAGGCTCTGAAGACACCCCTGGTTAACAGGCATGACCTGGACGAAGATCCAGCAAAGAAGCCCGAAGAGGTCAGACAGGTAAAGGAGCAGAACCAGGAGTGTCACAAGAATTTAGAGAGAAGAGGGTGATCAATGTCAAAGGTGGCTGGTCAAGAAGGAGGGAAATTGAGAAAGGATAGTAGATTTGACAACTGAGATCATAACAACTCAGAACTGGGACTTTGGTGGCTGTCTAGCCCAGCCTATACTGAAAGGAACCCCATTACAACATACCTAACAAAAGATTGTCCAACTTTGCTTGAAAACCTTCAACGAAGGGGAACTACCGACTACTTGCAGAGGCAGATGGCCTAGCCCACTTGTTAAGTTTTTCCTTATATCAAGTCTGAATTTTCTAAATTTGCCTCTTTGCTATTTTCATCAGTTGTGCCTTGTTCTGCCCTCTAGGAGAGTGGTGTCAAACTCAAATAGAAATGTATTGCTATGGGCTGCATACAGACTTAGAATATCACAAACTGACATCATTTGTTACATTGTATTTTTTATTTATTTTGTTAAACATTTCCCAATTATATTTTAACCTGATTCAGGTAGCACTAGGGAATGTCACTGGGGGCAGCAAGGTTGATACTTCTGCTCTGGGGTGCCTTGTGGGCAAGCTATATTGCTAATGATAATCCTTCGGAAGATGCAATCCATTTTCCAGATAATGAAACTGAGGCAGATAGCCATTAAATGTCTTGCCCAGGATCACATGGCTGGTAAGTATCTGAGGCTGGATTTGAACTCAGATCTTCCTGACTCCAGGTCCACTGTACCACCTAGTTGCCTGCCTACTGTAGATTAACTTATAATCCAAGATGATGAATGTAAATAAAACCCTATGTAGAAATGCAGGTACATTTTCCTCTAAAATTAACCCCGCTCCACTACAGATTCTTTATTCACCTCTCTCCACTTTCAAAGAAGACATAATTAATAGAAGTCAAGATGAAATCTAATTAATTCATTTGGCCTCAAGGTCTTCAACCCCCAAGACATGCTCTGGACTTACTTCCTGTCCCTGTCCTCCTACTCTTGTTCTTCCCCAAACTCCACTTTTAATACCAACGTCAAACAATGCCACCGTGCCTGACAATCCAGTTTAAGCCTCATGAACCCTATGGTGCTCTAGATTCCAATTCTGTATGCCCCGGTCTTCCCATACCTGTCTAGCCCAAAGAATCTCTAATCCACCTCACTCTTCCCACACACACAGATTTCACCCTCATCCTACCTTGACATGGCCAGCTTCCGCTTGCTGCCCACCCGAGGCTCTCTGGGTGGCTCTTGTTCCACTCTCAGCTGTGCTCCATCTTCCCTCACCCAGGCTCCATCCATTTCTTCTTCCTTCACCCCCTGTCCAGACATTTTTTTTCAAACCCCTTTTCCCCTCACCCAAAACCCAATCACCTCTTCAATTCCATGACCTCCTCCACTCTCCCTTTCCACCCATCTCTTTTTTCATCTTCACTCCACCCATTTTCTTCCATATCCTCATCTCCATTCTACCTACCTCATTCTTCACCTCCATTCCATCCACTTCTGTCTTCACTTTCATTCCATTTTCCTCCTTCACCTCCATTCCATTTTCCTCCTTCACCTCAAATTCACCTTCCTCCTTCACCTCTATCTTCACATCCATTTCCATTTTCATCTCCATCTCAACTGCCTCCTCCTTCACCTCCATTTTACTCTCCATCTTCTCCTCCTTCACTTCCATTCCTCCCATCATCTCCTCTTTGACGTTTCTCCCATCTATGATCGCCTCCTCAATTTTCATCCCATCCACCAGCTCTTCTTCCACTTTCAATCCACCTGACATCTCCTCCTCCTTCACCGTCATCTCTCCTACCACCTCTTCCGTTCCCATTTCTCCCACCATCACCTCTTCCGTTCCCATTTCTCCCACCATCACCTCTTCCTTCACCTCCACTCCGCTCATTACTGGGATACCCTCCTCCAACCAGCCGGGCATCTCTTTCTTCATTTGCAGTCTACCCACCACCTCTTCCATCGCCTCTAGCCCATCTAAGAAGTCCTCCTTCACATCTAGTCCGTCTATAAATTCCTCCTTCACCTCTACTCCGTCTATACATTCCTCTTTCACTTCTACTCCGTCTATAAGTTCCTGCTTCACCTCTGGTTCATCCATAAATTCCTGCTTCACCTCTACTCCGTCTGGTATCTCCTGCTTCACTTCTGGCCCATCCACAAATTCCTGCTTCACCTCGGGGTTCCCCTCCACCCCCTCCTCCTCCGGCTCATCCATCACCTCCACCTTGATCCGCAGCCCGTCCCACTCCAGCTTCGCCTCCACGCCCCCGCCAGCTCCAGCTTCACCTCCAACCCTCCCCCCTCGGGCTCCAGTTTCAGCTGCAGCCCCATCCCCTTGGCCCCCGGCCCTAGCCCAGGCTCGCCGCCCCCGCCCCGCGCTTCGGCCATGTCTTCGCGTCCCCCGCGGCCCCGCCCTGGCCTCTGCTGCCGCCTTCCGCTCAGGGCCCCGCCCCCGCCCCGCTGGGCCCGGGCTGCCGCCGCCGCCGCCGCCGCCGCCGCCGCCTGTCCTTAGCCCCGCTCCGGCAGCCGCCGGGAGAGCGAACGAGCGAGGGAGCAAGGGAGCGAGGGGCAGCCCCTAAACCGCGCGCCGTCGGCCACGTGACGCCGCCAGCCTCCACGCGCCCAGCCGTCCGCCGTAAACCTCACTCACCGCCCGAGCCGCGCCAGCACCGCTTTACGACCTTTTCCCGACGTGAGGACGGCTGCTCGCGCGGTTTCCTAGGAAACGGAAGGCGACGAGACGGCGAGAATCGCCTTGGGGCGTTACTTCCTCCTCATTGACCCTATAGGCTTCTGGCCCCGCGCTGGCCTCTTGGGCTGCCCGTGGAGTTTGGATGGCTTGTTAAAACTTCTGCGGGCTGCCAGTGGTCAGTTCACAATTTGAACCAAGACTCTAGGCTTAGTACTTAGCAAGAACAGCTAATTAAAATTGGAATTGCCCCGCGCCCTGCCCCCTCCCCCAGATGCTTCCCTAGGCCTCCTCCTCCCCTCCCCCAATTCGGACCCGTTCCTGTGACCCGACCCTGGGCTCCGACTGTCCCCAGATCTAGCTGGGAGCCAGATCCCTCTGACCACTTCCGGTGTACACCCTTCCCCCAATGCTAGCATTGAGAACAGTGATCAAATTAATCAATGCAGCCCCTCCTGGCAGAGAAGGCGCTACCCTGCACTGGCAGAGGGACCTCTATCAGGAAAATCATGGGTCTTGGCCTCATCTCCCCTCCCCCCTAGTCAGATGTAGATCAATAAATAGTCAGGACCCTCCCCCCTTTCTGATAGGTTTTCTGGGACAGCCTAGAATTCTCAACAGTGTCTTGTGATTGTGTGATTTCCCTTCCTCTCTGCTTCTGGAGCTATAATCAAATCAATTCCGCCATTTTCCCCCCCGGAAGATATGGGCCATTCTAGTCCCCTAAGGCCCCACTCAACACCCAGTAACTTCCGAACCAAAGTGCCCCTCCTTGGCCATCGTGCTGCACTCCCCTAGTTAGGACTTGAGCCTTGAAGACTTTTGGATTGATTTCTGTGTACTTAGCACTGTCCTTGGCACCTAGTAAATTTTCAATAATTTATTCATACTCACCAGTTTCTCTTCTTGAAGGGAAGGTGCAAAAAAAGGGAGCTTCCGTATCTGTAGGCTTTGTACATCAGGAAAATTATGGGTCTAGGTCCCATCCCCCCATCATATGTAGACCAATAAATAGTTATTGAGATACTGAGATCCCTTGGTCTATGGAAGTATCTGTAGAGAAGGAGAAGACTGATTGAGAAGAAGAAAATTGCCCATAGACTAGCTTCCAATTTTAATTAGTTGTTTTTGTTAAGTCCTAAGCTGAGAGAAGATAGATCTTCTCACACATTGCTGCCAGATTAATTTTCTTAAACAATACAGCTCTGGCTCCAGTCATTTTCGTCTTGAGAAACCTCCAACGGCTCTCAATCAACTACTAAATGAAGTCTATTTAGGCTAAGGGTTTGGTGAGGTGAAAAGAACATTGAATTTGGAGTCAGAGGAATTGAATTCAAATCCTAGGTCTGCTATTTACTACTTGGGACTTTTTAGGTAACTCACGTAAACTATCTTAGCCTCAGTTTCCTCATTTGTAAAATGATGGAGTTAAAAGAGAATTCCATGAAGCCTCCATTCCTGATATCTTTCAACTGTAATGACTTTTCCTTCCTAAGACATTTTACATCTTTTGAAATATGAACTGTTAACTAGTTGAACACCAGAAATTGATATTTTATCAGCTGAAATGCCAGCTGTACCCTCAAGACCACGGGAACTTTGTCTGATTTGCAGCTGAAACCTTCCATATGTATTGTTTTCCCTATTAGAATGTGAGCTCCTTAAGAGCAAGGGCTATCTTTTCTATTTATATGCCCAGTGTTTACCAGAGTGCTTTGCACATAGTACTTAAAATAAATGCATTACTCATTCACTTATTCTTAAAGATATACATCCTATTTTCATAGCCAAAATCACAGAAAAAGTTGCCTCTATTTCCTCACTCCCAATCTCCTTCTAAAGTCCCATGCAATGTGGCTTTGGACTACAAATGTAGTCCATTGAAGCTGTCCTTTTCGAGGTTACCTGTTATTGCTAAACCTAATAACCTTTTCCCAGACTTCATTTTATTTGAATTCTTTGCAACTTCTTTGGGCACCTTCCTTCCCCCATACTCCCTTTCCTTTCATGGTTTCTTAGACTTTTTCTCTGGTTCTCCCCCTACCTATTTGGCAGGTACTTTTCAATCCTTTTTGCCAGCTCAGCATCGGTCCCCCACTCCTTAAGCCTGAATGTTTTCCAAGGCTTATTCCTTTATACCTTTCTCTCTGCGATGTTTTTTCTTTGATTTCATGAGCTCCCAGTGGTTCAATGTTTATGCAGATGGGTCCCAAACATGTGTGTGTATACACACTGTTGCACTTCAGTACTGAATCGCAAAGTGCCTGTTAAACATTTACACCTGGATATTATATTGGCATCTCAAACTTAAAATGTCCAAAATAGAACTCATTATCTGCTCCCCCTGCCCCCACTTTAAGCCTACCCTTTCTTCTAAACTTCCTTGTTTGGAATTTCTGTTTGGGACACCACAATCCTAATCATCAAACCTCAGAATTTCCTACTCTCCCTTCCTACTCTCTTTCCCTATAGCCAATCAGTTGCCAAACCTTATCCATTCTACCCTCCCACCTCACCCCAACGTATCTCACATCCAGCCCCTTCTCACCACTTACATAGCTATCACCCTAGTTCAGGCCTTCATCACCTCTCACCTGGACTATAACAGGCTTCTTACTGGTCTCCCTGTTTCCTGTCTCTCCCCACCCCAATCTATCAATTACACAGCTACCAAAGTACTTTTCCCAGGACACCGGTCACTTAACAGTTTTTTGTGGCTTCCTGTTGTGTAGAGGATAGTATGCAAAGTCCTCAGCAGGACATTTGAAACCCTGAACCATCTGGTTCAGCCTACTTTTCCAGACTTGTTTCTTGGTACACCTCTTCACATATTCTGCATTACAGTCAATGGTTGTTCAGTCGTTTTCAGTTGTGTCTGACTCTTCGTGACCCCATTTGGGGTTTTCTTGGCAGAGATACTAGAGTGGTTTGCCATTTCCTTCTCCAGCTCATTTTTACAGATGAGGAAACTGAGGCAAAGAGGGTTAAGTGACTTGTCCAGAATTACACAGCTAGTAAGTGTCTGAGGCCAGATTTAAACTCGTGAAGATTAGCCTTCCCAATTCCAGGCTCAGCAATGTATATACTATAGCGCCACTTAGCAGCCCATATTCCAGCCAAAGTGTTACCCAAACTCTACATTCTAATTCTTTGCTTTCACATAGGTTGTCCCTTATGCCTGAAATGCATTCTTTCATCACCTCAGTTTCTTAGCATTCTTAGCTTCAGTCAACGCTCAGCTTAGGCATCACCTCCTAAGAGCTCAGGTGCCACTTCCTGATCTCCCTCCTCCAAATTACCTAGGAGACTAAACGCTCTTTGAAGGCAGGTACTGTTTCCTCTGTGTCAATAGCTCCTAGCACTATGCTTTACAAATAGTACACTCTTAATAAATATCTATTAGATGTAATTAAATGGAGTTATCATATATTTTTGGCCATTTTCCCATTGTTGAGTGGGACCCAAGCGCGTGGAATTCTTAACATTAGTCACAACTTTGGGTTCTAGGATTTATATCCTCTGTTAAAATTGCAACCCTCTCTTCTGGGGATTTTTCCTTACCTTTTTTTAAATTCAATATAATTTAGTCCTTGTTTTGCAGCTTCCTACTTGTTTACTCAATTCCTTCAATCTCTTTGGTGGTTTTTCCAGGAGGTTTTCCTTGTCATGAATTATTTATCTTTCTCTCTTTTTTCTGTTGTTGTTCTTTTACTTTATATGGCTTATTTCTCACTGCTTTGAAGTGATGGAGGGATCTGGACTTAGCCTCGACATCTTATTTAGCCATCTTGACAAAAGTCTCCTTTGAATTAGCTTTTTTGGCTGCCATCATGTGCCTTTGGCTCATATTGAGCTAGCAGACACTCAGACCTTTCTCAGTTGAATGGTTCTCTAATTTTACTTCTCTTGTCTTCTGCTCAATGGAGGGGGTGGCATTGAACAGAAACTATAATGACTTCACCATTTTGGCTGTTTGACCCAAGGGAAAGAAGTGTGGTATATGGTGAAAGACATGGGCTTTGGAGTCATACAGATGGGAAGAATCCCAATTCTGTGCATTCCTAAATGTGTGACTTCTATGGACCTCAGTTCTCTCATCTGTAAAATGAAGAGTCAGATTACATGATTTTTAAGGTCCATTCCAGTCCCAAATTCTATGATCCCACAAATGAATGAAAGAAAAGGCATTGGTTAATAGCTTATTTTGGGCAAAGTACTGTGCTATGTACTGGGGCTATAAATAGATAAACAAGACAGTCCTCTTTCTCAAGGAGGCACTAAGCGAGGGAGATGGTATATACAACTGAATTCTGATTCTGGATGGATGGAAAGGCCCAGCAGAAGGGAAGGTGATAAGACCTGATAATCTAAAGTATGAAGTTGCAAAGTAGATTATAAAGTCACTAGAACACTTGTGGTGATCTAGTTGGCAAGTAATCCAATTTGTCTGGGAAGTGAGACTGATGTGCAAACTTCTTGACCATCAATTCAACTGATAAACCCATATCTGTTTCTAGTATCAAACTACTGGACAGTGCAATATGACATTATATTTCAAGCTAAAGAAGGCTATATTTGAACCTTTCCTTACCATTTTATTCTACACCATTGCTTGTTCTAAAGGCCAAATCAGAAAGTGTGAAAACATCCAGGCTGACATAAAAC